ATATTGATGAAATCGTTTGTGATAGGATCTTTAGAATATTTTGAATATCTGAATAGGTTTTATGGGTGTCAATAATAACCAGTTAGAATTTCCGTATTTTTTGGCACTTAATGAGAATACAAAAACACTTTACATATCTGACCATGACAATAATCGAATCATGAGTTATGCGTCAGGTGCGTCAGTAGGTACAGTGGCAGCCGGAGGTAATGGTTTTGGAACCAGTTATACACAATTGGAATATTCTGTTGGATTATATTTTGATTCATTAACAAATAGTCTTGTCGTCGCTAATTCAGCTGCTCATAATATTGTTCGATGGATATTAGGTGATAATAGTTGGACACAGGTTGCTGGTATAAGTGGAATACAAGGAAATTCCTCTAGCTTACTTAATCTTCCAATGGGTGTGACATTTGACCCGATGGGTAATATGTATGTAGCTGATGCATATAATCATCGTATACAATTCTTTTTATCGGATCAAAGTGAAGGTAGAACTATTGCTGGGATTACTAGTTCACCTGGAATGAATGATATACAATTAAATACACCTTATTCAATAAGATTAGACAATCAACTGAATCTTTATGTCGTAGATTTGGGCAATCATCGAGTACAAACAATTTTACGCTATTAAACAAATATTGTTTTGTTATCGTTATTAGAAATAAAATATATTAAAATTTTGATTGAATAACAAAAGAAATTGTTTTTTTCTTTCTCAAATCACTATGTTACCTTTCGATTACATGATCAAATCAATATTTCGTTTTCTCATAATTCATTGGCTGAAAAGGCAAACTCATAGTATATGAAACTTTAACATGAATAGACAAATAATGCTTATAATATGACAACAATAAAATCTATCCAAATTGAAAATATACTCTGAATATGAATCATTTTACATTAACAATATCAAATGCTAGGTTTCCGAGATTCAAAACGAATCAAACTCAAATTCAACTTGACTCGACCTTTGATAAACTTGTCAAAAATAATTTTCTGTAATCATAATTTGTTATTCATGTGAATGAAGTGTGGCGACCAATGGCCGAATTACGATAATTCCAGCGATCTCTTGAAAATAGTATTCGGTCATTTTGATAATTTGGTCGACGAACAAGCGAGGCAAACACTTCATCAGATAGTGCAAGATGAAAAGAATCCTGAGGGTGTGGATTTAGGTGTAGATACTGTGAGAATATCAACTCAGAGAGTCACACCCACGCCCCAGTTTTCGAATTTTAATTTTAACGGGTGGGGCAAAAGTTCTGCATCGATTTTGTTTTCGATATAGCGCTGTAATGAAATGATGTAGAGACCTTATCTTTTTTTGTTACAAAGAGCAAAATGTCTAATGCAAAAATATACAAATGAGTATCATTCAAAATGTTTGATAAAGGCTACAGAAACTTTCAAACAAAAGGCATGGGGAAATCATTCCACAACTATTATTTTACCTTGGAAAATATTTCATTTAATATGACCACTCTTATTCTTACTCTTCTAGTCAAAGTTTTACACGGTATGAGTAGTGAAGTCTTGTAGCACAAAAAAGAAGCTGTTCACATTTTTATGATGACTAAAACAAACGTTTTGATGATATCATCTGATGCCTGCATTTTTCGTCGCTCTCAATCGCAGACGGAAAAATAAATTCTATGCTGACAGAGAGATTGTCAGAAACTATATCTTTCATATGAATAACAAAGCTTGATGAGCCATCTATCGCAAGTTATTATTTGAAATAGGACGCAGGTTTTCTGTGAGATATGCAACCAAATATTTGTTGTCGTATTGACAATTATAAATCCGCAAGATAACATTTTTAATGATATACTCTTCTGTCTATTCTCTTGTATGCGAGATCAATTATTTTAACTATATATATACGATTCTCAAAAACATTTGATGATGTTGAAGAAAAATGTCATCAAAGTTGTGGAAGCATTTTTCGATGCTTTTTGTTCTGGACCTTCTGTCGGCGTTATCAAACATTTTCAATGATATTCATTTGTATATTTTGCACTAGACACTTTGCTCTTTGTAAAAAAAAAAAGATAAAATCTCTAGCTCATTCCATTAGAGCGCTATATCAAAAAAAATAATGCAGAACTTTTGCTCCGCCGGTTATGTTCGTAATTGACATGGCACGTTTAATGCTTCAGGTTAGCAAAAACAAATGGTCATACTTTTTTCGTCTTACACATGAGGGCTTTGCTTCATGACATTGACGCTCATCTCCGCTTAATGAAAGCTTACATTTTCCCACAAGCAAGACGAAATCTGTTCAATTGATTGATTGGACTTTATTAGTTAACATTGATCAAAGAAAAAGTATCCCAAGACAACATGCGCCACCCATCAAACATACTGTGCTTGAACAATAAATGAAGCTATTCTATATGTCTGAAAAATTGAGTGGATCTTCGCACAGAAATTATTCTAATCGTATGAGGTAGAACTACCGAGTTAACTCTGTATAAGTTTTAACTTGATATTTCGTTCGAATTAAGTTCACTTAACTGCATCAATGATTCATTTTAGTAAAATATCGAGCGGTAGAGTCGTTCGCTAAGACAACTTCTGTTTGAGATGAAACCGTAATCTTTGTAAATCAACGATTGATGAAAGCTCTGGATTAAAAGTGATCGAGTGTCTCTTCTGTCAATATTATTCTTTCAAAACTAACGTTAGTGTTTCGTTAATTCTGTCAGATCGTTCTTCTTTTATTTGTTCCCTTAAGCATTTTGCCGTAATCTTGGCCAAAATTATGCACGCGTTGCTAAACGAGTTTTTTTATGTTTAAATCAAGAAAAACTCTTCCCATTAATCGAGAAACCTTCATAAAAGGATTGAAGAAAAAAGGATCATGCTTTTTCATAATCACTGGAAACGAAGATCGAAATTCGATATTATTTTCTTTCACAATGAACTGAAAGCTCAATGTGATAATAACCTCGAGAAATCTAGAGCTCACTTGTGCATGTGAAGTATTATTAAGTTCTCAAATATCAATCAAAATAGACGTGCACCCGAGTTGATACGATTTACCGTTTTGCGTTCTGTTTGCCACTGTCAGCAATTTACATTTAATGAAAAACTGTGTTATTCGAACGATGTAAGGCACACCGACCCTGTATTTGTAGAAGGATAAAGCAAAATCCTGTATTCAACGACTATATAAGACAAGAAGCAAAATTAGAAACTTCAAAAAAAACAATGAATAAGCAAAGTGCATGAGAATATTGTCTTGCACTCATATTTCACGAAAAGGGTCCATTTCACTCTTCTCGGCTATCAATATCGGAGAAGTTTTCGATCATAAACAGCTGATATGAGTATCGTGTTAATCTTATTTTGTGTCTTGGTGAACGTTGTCAATGGCCAAAGTACGTGATTTAACGAGTATGTCGCACTGATAATCGATTGTTACGTTTAGATTGTTCTTTTTACAATCCTTGTGGTCGCAATGGTTATTGTACATATGAATTTGAAGAGCCAAAGTGTGATTGTAAATTTTGGTGGAATGGTACATTTTGCAATGAACGTGAGCTGATTCAATCTCGATCTATTATATACCAATCAGCATTTTTTTCTAGTAACCAATAGTGGAAAGCAGGTCATTATACTTGGTTCTTTATTGGGTGTTCTGATAATTACTTTCCACTCGTTGAATATTTTCCACCTATATCGCCGACGAAGGCGGCAGCCGAAGAAAGCAACAAAAAAGTAAATTCTTGTTAATTTTTGAATCTCAGGGTGTAGGTGTAGGTAGTTGTTTCATTCATACATCCACACCCACTACCCAATGTTTCGACTTCAGCAATAGTATTAGAATTCATATGCAGACGTACTGAATAGTTATCAAACGAGCATTTCATCGTTCAAGTTTGATGTACGTCTAATGTAAATAGATTGTCAAGTGGTGAAGAAATTCGTCTTATAAAGCAAAATTGTCTTGCACGCAGGTTCCCTATACAAATATTCATACATCTTCGCACTCAACGAAACCATTGACTGTATATACAGGGTGGTGCAGAAGTCGGTATACCGAAAAGAAAAATCAAATATCTCCATTAAAACTTCTATTAAACGAGCTGATTTTTTTTTATCAAGGATAGAAGCGTGTTCAAAGTTTATATACACAAAGAAATACTCAGAGAGACCCTTTATTAAGTACTATTATTAACCTCAACAAAAAAAATTACTTTTTCACAGGTAGGAAAAAGCAAATATATAATAATAAAAGCATAGGTTATCAAGGCAAAATGTAAATTCTCATTCATGTTTCTTTTGTTTATTATCAAATGCATCTTACCGTTATCTATTGAGAAGAGAAGAAAAGAAAAGAACATCAGAATACCTAATCAATATTTTTGTTTATATTCTTCAAAACAAAAAGAAATGATTCTTTAGCGTAAATGCTCAAATTGTGTTCCTCCGGCATTAATACACATTTGACAACGATCAGCTACAGATCGACAGGTTGTTTGGCATAGCTCAATATTATCATTGAGTGATTTAAATTCTTTTTTGATTAATGACTTCAGATGATTCGCATCACGAGGATTTTGAGCAAAAGTTTCAGAAACACGTTGCATATTTTCTTCTGTTCTAACAGTTGTCGGTCTGACACTTCGTGGTGAATCTTCAACAGAACCTGTATCATCAAACTTTTTTGCTAGTTTGTAAATTGCTTGTCGAATTGGCATTTTCTTGTCGGGAAATTCATTTCGAAAAGCTCCACTTACTGCTCGAAAATTTCTTCCTGATATCCACCATTGTTTGACAGGAAAAATCCTTTGTTCTTTTGTTAAGTATAACGACATCTACAACAAATGAGCTCGAAGCAAGAGTTACGTACTGAAAGAACAAGCCTTACCGAGAATACACGAGACACGCAGATAGACAGCAGATGAATATGAACAACAACACAAGAAATAGAAATATTTATATGTGAAGTATCGACGTAGATTATAGTAAAACAGAAGGAAAAAATAGAAAGAGAAAGTATCTGTAAATATCCAACACGTATTATCGGCAAGCTCATATGTCTTATTACATTTTGTCTTAATAAACTATGTTTTTATTATCATATATTTGCTTTTTCCTACCTGTGAAAAAGTAAAATTTTTTTGTTGATGTTAATAATAGTACTTAATAAAGGGTCTCTCTGAGCATTTCTTTGTGGATATAAACTTTGAACACGCTTCTATCCTTGATAAAAAAAAAATCAGCTCGTTTAATAGAAGTTTTAATGGAGATATTTGATTTTTATTTTCGGTATACCGACTTTTGCGCCACCCTGCATATGCAAACGTTTCTGCATCTAACGTAAGACTAGAGTTCAATATCAGTGAACGTGCAATTTATAACAATATACAATTATCTTTTCTGATGTTTAATAGAATTAAGAGTCTGACACCTAAAAGTTAAGGAAAACTAACATTTTGAATCTTAATTCTTTCAGAATTGTCAGTCGTTTACTAGAATTTCGAACCTCGCATTTTGAGAGACTTTGTGAAAGATCTTTCACTTGATGTTTTTCTCAATTATTTTCGAATTTTCTGTACCTATCGTTCTTCTATAAGCAGTGATTAAGGTCCGTCAAAATATACAAGACAAATGAGTCAAAGACGATTCGATCCGTCTTTATTGCTACTTGATAATAGTAAATAAAGCAGTTCTCTATAAATTTTAATGGGAAATATATTGCATCAAGATTTTTGCGATTTTCAATAAATAGTCAATTTGAATCAATTCTATCTGAATTATTGGTACAAATAGTGATTTCAATTTAAAAGGACAGATTACTGATATCTTCATGATCTTTTCGTTATGCTTGAGAATGCATCGAGTCGCATAAGTCCTGATTGCTTTTAGGTTACGGACATCTTTTCATGTGGTTCTGGAATTTACTAAATTGATAGTTCTCTGGCGTCCCAATACAACGAAAAATAATGATATTTTAAAAATCCTGTTGCACAACTATCGGGTGACTGGCAAATGACTTGCCTTTCCTTATGGAGGCAGTCAACTACAGAAGTATAAGCTAACCTTTTTCTTATGCAGCCATTTGATCTGTCAGAATTAATCAGACTCCTTTCGTTTTATCGATATACAAAATAAACTTGTCGGACGCGATTTCATCCAAAACAGTGACATTGCCGAGAGTTTCAATGCCGATTTCTTTTATCAATCAAGTCTCTAACATACCAATTCTGTGATTCTGGCATGCGCGTATCGAAAAGATATGGTAGAGAGGTCCGTATATCGCAAAATCAAATTGAAAAAACGTTCTTTGCGAAAAATTCGTTTCCCCTATAAGTTTTCTGATAATCGTTTTCTACTTGAATTCTTTTCACGCCGGCTTATAAAAACTGAAAAATGTCATGCGTGGTTTTCTGAGACTTCGCTTCGATAAGTGGTCGAATTAATCTTCCTCTAGGATGTATCCAAAACAACCGATTCGTTGAGATCCCATTGAATTTGAGTTCAATGGCCAACTGTTTGAAACAAAAATTTCTTGTTTATTTTGTTCTGAGTAAAACTGTTTTCGATGCCATCGTCACTGTATTTAGAGTACAATCAAACGATTCGAAGCTATTGGATATAGCCGTCAGCCAGGTGAAACGATCAGCTGCTGTGACATCGTGCATCATCGCTGTACTCATCGTGATCGTTGCAGGTGGGACGCTAGTGGCAAAATGGTCTTTTCTGCAGCCTATTCATACTGAACTCGTCAATCGGTACAATAATAACTCGCCGCTCTACTACGAATCCAATTCGATCTGCAAAATAATTGACATGCAACGTTTCAATATTCTGACATTTCCAGTTGCTTGTTTCATCATTTTGATTTTTATTCTAATAACGAAAAGAACGTCGCTGCTTCAAAAGCAATGTCCCCGAGGAATCGCTCCGCCGATGCCAGTTGACTTTTTCTCAAGAATTGACCGAAAATTTGCAGCCGTCATATTCGCCATGTGTGCTGATGAACTTTTTACGATCGTTAAAACTATTTTCGAACCTACATCATCAAACAGTGACGATGGTGTTATTATCAATTATCTGAAACGCATCTTTCAAGTTCTCATTATCGGCTTTCGATACTATCCACTGCTGGCTGCCGTGTATCTCGATTCAATCGTTTCGTTGGTGTGCGGTACGCTCTATTCGTGGCTCGATTATTCGATAACGCTTGCCAATCAAGGACTGTGTAATACTGATTTTTACGCGACACTCGATCAATACATTAGAGCAGGAAACACAAGTTCATTGGCAGCACGATTCGACTATTATGGTACTGGCTCTACGCTACTTGCTATTCAATTATGCACAGATATTCCTCGATCTTTGTGTTTGGCCTATGTCAGCATTAAATTACCTTTTCTACTCATTGATAAAATTCGTCAACGATTTAAAAGAAGCTCAATGTCCGACCAAGAACGAATGATGATGAAATTCACTCGTGAAGAACGCCTTCTTCTCCGTATATCTGATCCGGACTCACCGGAAATGCTGTATGTTCGGAATCTGTTCCGTCAGGCTGATCAGCGACCACGCAGTCATCATTTGGTCGCTAGACTGCTGCCGAAATTCATCTACGAATGGCGAGACGATTTCACTTTTTCCACTCGAATTCTTTGCATCTATTCATCCATCATTTTACTTCTCTTCTTTATAACTGTTCAGGCGTGTGTTCTTATTTTGCCTGAACTTAACAGCGCGCAAAAAAAGTTGCAATCATTTGTCGATTTTTTATTCCCTACAAGTAGCGGAGACGACAACGACGATGAAACAGTCGATCCGGCCACAACGCAATTTCCCGTTCCATCTTTACAACGAGTGTTTATATTATCTGTAGTGACAACGGTCTTGTTGATCACTATTCAATTACTAACGCTGTTAGCGAATATTCGTCGAAATCTTTTTCAAACATTTCGTGGGGATGATAGTGAGATTCCTCGACGGCAACGTTCGCGTTATATTTCCTACTCGACAGGAAATATCCATTTTGGCGGTTATTTCATTGGCTATCTCATTTGGGGTTTCATTCTTCTCGCTTTCTTTGTAGTTATATTATGGACTTGTGTTGAAGCTTTCATAAATTTTGGTAGTGCGCGTATACTCGAAAGGATTCTCAAAATGATCATTCCAACCTTTCTTTTCATCTATTTTAAGCAGTATCTTAACAGATTACTTGCTCGTTATGTTTTTCTTCAGCATGCAGGCGAAGTCCTCGCAATAAACAATCGTCGAATATTAATGATATTCATTTATTTCAATTTGTTTCTCGATGCCTTTCTCGGTTTTATTTCATCGATCACTCGACTCTTATGGAGCGTCGTTTACGGAATTATATACATGTGTCGATTAGATTATTCTCCTCTGGGACGAAAATTAGAATTAATGGACGGTGGTTTCAGTGCCTATTGTGGTTACATTCATACTGAGTGTTGTCATCGTCATCCAGTTATGTTGATATTTGCTTCGCATTTGTTTACACAATTCAAAATGAAACAATACAAACAAATAGAGTATTTAGGCCAGCTATCCGACCCAGACAGATTGATGTATGCGCAAAGACAAAAGAAATCTTTACGGGCCATTAGAAAGTGGAATTTGGGTGTTTTTCTGATTCGTAATCCAATGATTGCCTTTTTTCGCAAGGCCTATCTCAAGCAACTAGACGTTAATGATTTGCATGCGTTGACCGATCTTGATGGTGATGTGAACAATAGGAATCAGCGATTGGCTGTCTATCATCGGAGAGCGTCGGTCGCCGGACTGAGCGTCATTGAGGAAACAAATGCAGAGCTGCATAAACAACAGCGCTTCTAAATATATTCTCTTTTGAAGGAACGAATATGAAAGCTTTTGGTGGATGTGAATGTGCGCGTGNTCTTTTATCTTCTAAACGTAAATGATCCATCTATCTTTAAAAAACTAAATTATAGATGCTTTTTCAATCATTTACGTTTATTTTCTAAAGATAACGGATTCATTTATCTTTATCCTTTATTATAAAGGAAAATAGCGATAAAAGGTCACCCCTATTTACTAGACGATGCTATACATGTTCTCGACGATATGATTCAACAACAACAGCCAGAATTAGCCCTATCGATTACTACGTCTTCTTCTACTATCCCGTCTGGTCGAACTACGAGAAGTGGACGCATCATTGGTTAGACCGTCTCATCGAACAAATAGCAATGCCATTTCATCGTTTCTTTCATTATTTTTCTTGTCAATCTCAAAATTTCTTATTTTATTGTTCTTCCTCGCAGCGTACCAAACAAGTAATGGTCTCATGCTAGCGCAGTTCAAAACAATTTTTTTCATCAGAATGGCTATAATTGTTAAATTTTTAGTCTGTTCCCAGGTAGAGAAATACAATCACGTGCTGAATCACTGCGTCTGATGCAGCTTCAAAAGCCCTATCGAATGACACTAACCCTGATTAAAACGGTAAATGGAATGCTGAGGTACGAGTGATTTACTAAGACACTTCGGAGTTTGAAACTAGCAAAAAATGGCTCATACTGAGGTACCTGTCGGAACTTTGCCAGTACTTTGAAGCAAATATGTTTTAATGGAAAGATGCGCCTTTTCACGCTCTACAAGATAGGCTAAACTCTTACTTTGGCACTGTAAAAATAGAGCCGGTAGAGCGTAAAAATTGCTAAAAACCCATGTAAAAATCCGGCATAAATGGGTACTCTGCGATGATGCAAGAGATCTCAGGAATAACAGATAGCATGAAGAGATAAACAAAATATAGCATTTTATAAAGTGGATTCCGCGCTATGGAATGGTACAAGATAATTATTCTGTTGGTTACTCTTTTGCACAAAAAAAATCGATCGAAAACATTTTTGAGAAAAACATTTTTTTACACGTGTTTTTGGAAACTCAAACAAGTTGGGTCGCCAAATCGAAAGAAGACTGCTCAAAAATAGTACAAATTTGGATTTATGCCTCATTTTGTATGCTCTATCGAAGGTGATAGCTAATTTCAAAATCTAAAAATTTTCGGCAACCGATCGCTACTGTTTTTGATGGTGGTTTCATGGACTCTCTCTTAAGTGCACGGTTTTGTCGCGAAAGCAGTTGTTCGAATTCAAGCAACTCTTCTTATCAATCAAGTCGTTTGAATATTTCTACAGATGTTTTCTATATGATTAAAACGAGGAGTTCTATATATACAATGGGCTATATTTATACTAATAATTTTAATTCTTTTTTTTCATCGCAAAATTTAATAGAAAAAAAAGACGATGGTGCTGGTTATCAGCAATTTATATTTCAAATGTTTTTCAATAATATAACAACATTTTTTGAAAATATAACAGGAATGTTTTCAATTATCACAGCTGGTCCAGCATGTATTCAATTTATTATTGAATCAAAATAATAATTATTATTATTTGCAAAACAAACTCGAAGATCCAATTTAGATTTGTTGTTTGTATTGAAATAAATCTTTATTGTTTAAAAATAAGAATAAAAATTAAACAAATGAAAAGAAATATTCATAGAAAATAAGAATTTATTCGATATGAAATCAAATAAATAAACATCATTATTTAATCAATGAATAGCGAGTTTTCATCATGAATTTTTTAATTATTACTGACGAGAATAAGTGATTTTCTATAATCCAATTATTAGAAGTTAAAAAATGATTGGATTATATTTATTTTGAATAACGATTAAAACAAATATTAATTAAATGAGAAAATAAATTTATTTTTGTTAGGTAATTCGAACATTTTAATTAATAAAAATCAAACGAATTATTTCATAATAATAAAATATATCTAGTTAATTCTCTTCTTAATATTTTAAGTAAGTTTTTTTTTTAATATTTAATTTAAAAATGAAATTAATTTACTTTGATTTAATTAAGTTTTCGAAATTTCATTTAGTCATTAAAACTCGTCAAAAAGCTGTCACTATGTTGAAATGTGTCTATTAATCAACATATGGATAAGGTTGTCTTAAGATTAATTGTGAAATTATCGATGTAAAATTATTTTATTGATAGTTACCCTAGTGAAACATCTTGTAAGTAAGATCTTGACCAAGATCTTGGGTACAGATAAGTGAACAGATCTTGAAAATTTAGGTACAAGATAATACAGTTATCTTGTACCCAAGATCTTATTGCAGATCTTAAATAAGAATTCATAACATCTTGAATGATGCATTCTGAAAGTGTGTTTGGTATTTTTTCAATATATTTTAATATTAACTATTCCTGTCCCGAATAGCTCAAGCAAGTCAGATGCTGAGATCTGACCGGCTTTAAGTTGGTCCGATATTCGCCAGACCAATTTAGGGTAGTCCTCTCTCGACCATCGATCGAGATCAGCATCCTCTCGATTAATCAATAGTCGAGAAATAGTTTAGGAAAAAACTTATTTTGTAAAGTTATGTTTTTGCATGTTCAATCATGTTTCTTATATTCTGTTCTGTATGCATAAAAAAACGGTGAATGACTAGATAGCCTATCTAAATAAACTAATGATGTCGCTTTCTGTTTTACTGAAGATCTTGTGAGAAGATAATAGTAAAAGAAATTGTTGCCATGATCTTGCTAAGATCTTAGGTACAGATTTATCAGATAGGACAAGATCTGAACAAGCGAATTATCTTTTAAAGATCTTGATAAGATCTTACCTACCAATCCCAAGATTTCAAGATCTTACTTACAAGATGTTTCACTAGGGTAAGAAATGTATAAAAAACACTAAACATTTTCATTTATTTTTCTTCTAGAATTTAATTTATTTCAATATTTTATTTAGTAATTTTCCATTAAACTGATAATTGCTGGTAAATAAATAAAAAAAAATCCAAATGATCGTAACAAAGAATTATTTGTTACTTAAATATTTAACTAAATCTTTGAGATTTTGCTTAACAAATTCTAAAACTTCATTTTGACATTCAGATTGAAGATCATGATGTCCATTAAACATTCGAATACGAAAAAAATCATTTATTGTTGTTAATTGTTTCGATCTACAGTGTTTTTAAATTGATGGATTAAAATTCAGTTGAAAACGTATCAAATACCTATTTAAAAATGGTTCTTCAACATTTTCTTCTTTTTCTCCGCCAGAAACAACAATTGGCACATTTATTGGAGTTGAAGGCAATAAATCATCACCAACCGAAAATAAATCGTAAGAAAACATTTAATTTTTTTCATTTACATGTTAAAAAACAACAAGAACTAAGCCAATGCGTCAACTGTTAACATTGGTATTAACATTTGAATAAAGAGTGGAAAATCGTAAACGTCTCGTGTTTTCTGATCTATCAAAAATGAAACTCTTTTAATATATATATATATTGTAGACAATGGTTCTAAATACCTGTCATTTTCTTTAATTCTTGAACAATTTCTTGGCCAGTCATTGAAGCAAAAGATAGATCAGGATCTAAAGGTTTATTTATATAGAAAATAAATCTTACCGATTAATTAAAATAAACTTTTTAAATGAGTATGGTTCTCGTCCCATTTCAATTCATAATTTTATTTTATTTCCTTTATTATTTGTTTCAATCATATGTTTAGCTAATGCAAAATTACTTGCACTTCAAACACTTGAATAAAAAATTTTAAAATTACCATTAAAATAAGAAAATAGTTAATAAATAACACTTACGTCCAATAAACATGCATGGTTTATTTATATAAGGTATAGATCCTTTAGTCATTTCAATATAATATTCTTATATACTTGTCAATAAATTTTCACCCATTCTATTTATTCTTCCAGAATAAATTATTAATGAAAATTTATGTTCAAGAAAATCTTTTCCCCATTCACGATAATATTGACCTGACATTTTTGAATGAATACAGAATTTCATATCAATAGATATCGCTTGTTTTCAATTGAAATGAAAAAGGAAGAGAATTTTAATGAATATCTGAAAAGATTTTATTGGTGTAATTGAAGCGACCGCTCAAGACAAACTATTCTCTTAGTTTAGTTAAAATTAGAATTAATATATCTTTATCTTGATCAGTATTAATAATTTGTAAATTTTGTTTTTTCTTGATTTTAGCGTTCGTATAAATTTTTAAACCTAACTTTATGAATTCTGATTCATATTGATCTAGTTGTAGATTCCAACAAAGTAGTATTTTCGTTTTCTACCAATTGATGATATAAATGAATAATTCATCATCAAAAGATTCAATGGCAAATATTGAAAATAAAAGAAGTCGTAGAGTTCAACCAGTAATTAATCATTATTTTCATTAATAATCTATTTATTTTTAAAAGGCAATATTTATCTAGATACGTAAAGCAAAATCCGCAGGTGATGTTGCTAGACAATTAACATCATATATTGATAATACATCGTCTTCAAGTACCCAAGTCGAACATTCCGGCCACCGGATCCCGTAGGATACCCCAGGGAATATGCGGGAAAGTCGCCATATCCTGCAGGAAAACACGGGAAATCGCTGGAACGTGGAAGCAGTATTCCGATCAAAAATTCGGCCGGACTTCTCCGGAGAATTCCTGCCAAGTTCCGGTGCTTCCTGGCAGGAATTGATCGGAAATCACCGGAAAAAATGCGAAAATTTTCCAACCGGAATTCTGCTTCCACAAAATCAACGGAACTACCCGGAACCGGCCGTTTCCACGCCGGTCGGTTCGACCTGGGAACAAGTCGAAAAAAACCTAATCCACAACAACAACGAACAAAAATTAAATCTAACAAAAAGTTGTTCACATGAACCAATAAACAATTTTTTTCATCATGTTCATCGTCTGATAATGATGATCAAAGTTTTATTCCATATAGTTAAAATATTGTGTTTTTTTTATGTATCAAAAAATTTCTTTTTGCTCTTTTTCTTTATTTCGTGTCGCAATTTCTTTTCTTGAAAATGTCCTATTTTTTATATGTGCTTATTTTGGTAGGATAAATCATTAAAAGATGAACTTTAAAATATTAGAAAAGAATTTTTTGTATTTATTACAATAGTCTAGTCAGATGTAGAGGCATTTAGCAATTGCCTAATGCTGAAAATTAATTAGAGATCACTAAGCATCAGTTTCATGATGGTAACCAGTTTTAAAGGATTGTAGTCCAACTTGCTTTTTAATTGCCCATGGATGTTCACTTCTGAAAATATTTTAGCTAGAAAATGTTCCACGAGGCAAAAATTCCTGATTACATCGCTGATAATAAAGAAATATATATCTTAATATTTCCATTCTTTAATAGCCTATCAAATGACTTATATTTGATGATAAACAATGGCAAAATGAACTTTCTATTACTAATGAATTACATGAAAATATAATTGATGTTGTTGTAAAAATAAATGCATTTATTAATGATGTTCTTGGTGTACCTAAACAACCATACAAAGGTACAAATTTCCCAAGTGAGCAAAAGACTGGTTAAATGACTAGTCTTTTTTCTAGTCAAGTTGACCCGTCCCGTCTAGTCTTTGTCTCAAAAACTACTCGTCCACGACTAGTCTGAGTTTTTATCCGTCATGCATATGCGTCCTAGTACTCTGATTGACGACTAGTCATAAAATCTAATAAGAGTAGTCGCGACGAGTGTCCCTGTCGCCCGTCCGGAAATGGTTTATGAATGAAAAATTAAGGGCGTCTGGGACGAGTATACAAC